AACGGCCGTGCCAAAGGGGCATGGGGAAAAGGATGCGATGGCAATGGGTAGTAATAGGTACCATCAGCTCCAAGCACGGGACACAAAGGGGTGGGACCATGTGTGACGCCACCAGGAGGTGACGTCTGTGCATGGATTGGGGAAGATGGGCGGGTGCTGCTCGGCATGGTCTGGGCGCCATCATAGGGCGGTGGCCGGGGATGGTCAGGAGAAACATTAGAATCACAAACATTTCGATGATACACATACAGCGTTTGTCCCTCAAACTCAAGCTCTTCCTCCGTCCAACCCTCCCGCTTTAATCCCCTAGCTACTCGATACCAAGCCTCCACTGCTTTGGTTAACCCATTATCAGACAATAACCCCTCCTTATCCACAAGCAACTTCCTCCAAAACTCAGGCTGCAATCTACCACCAGGTGGCAACTGGAAACCACAAACCTTAGAAATTTTCTTGATCTTTAACACTGCATCCTCCCCTGCTCTCTCTTTCACAATATCACAAGCTAGCAGTCCCTTAGCTGGTCTAGCATGTTCCTGCCCCATCTTGACCAAGCGTGGTCTACCAAGTAGAGGGGAGCGAGTGAGAGGGAAGAAAAAGTAAGAAAGTCTACAGTGCTCGACTGCCACGGAGGACCCGTGCGTCTTCCCAAAACGTAGACTAGTCACGATGGTCTGTACACCCGGAGGTGGTGGCCACAGACCGGAGGGTGCGAGTGTGGGTGACTAACACAGCTCTGGGCAACAAAGACAGGACAGATACAGAATGAGGGAGAAGGTGAAGGTAGCAACACTAAGTACTAGACATTTGCAAAAATCACAAATATAAAAATGAGTGTACACTCCGGAGTCAAGAACAAACCATACAACACACACACAAACACCAAGGGTACCCACACTGTAGCAACAATTGAACAAAATTCACAAAATAACAGAGAGCAATATGGCCATGTACATAATCAAACAATGCAATATAAATCAAATAACATTCCCAGCCCCTTATTCCAGGCTGTCAAAAAATTCCCCAACCCGATTTCACGGGTGGTTCCCAGCGCTGTCACAATTCCCCAACCCTCTACAAGGGTGGTCCCCAGCCCTTTACCGGCTGTCGCGTTCCCTGCCCGCTAGGCAGTCAAGCTAAAGATTTTTAAAAGAAACACACACACCGGCCGTCACTCACACACACATGAGCACTCAGGAGGCAGATAGACAATCGACAGGTCCGTTAAAAAGAGCACCGGATAAGATATTACCTGTCTAGTAGCCTTCTGGATGCCGGAAGGACGCGGAGACAGACCGACACAAAACAGGAGTATACAGACAACGGCTGTATGGTGGAGGTGATCAGGCTCCGGGTGTCCCACTTTCCGGAGGTCTGCTCCGGTCCGTTGCTTTCCGGCCCTCCGAGCCGGCAAATCCGGTGCCCCACGTTGGGCGCCAATTGAAGTGGAAATCAACTCAAATCGATTGATTATTCTTTGTGTATCTGCCCCTGACCAAATTAATGAAACAGTGCGTGCACGCTCCCTGAAGTAATTCACACCAGACACAAGTTTCAGGTAGTTGAATAACTTGAGGAATGTTTATTCAGAGGGGACGGCAAGTCCCTTTTAAAGCAAAATTACATCATAAGCATTGTCAGAGATAACATGGAATAATACGGTATCAATTGGTTAGGTGTTAAGTAGTTATCTTAGTGCTCTGCCTACTAGAGGTGATGTCACTGAGACCATGAGGGTCTCCCCCAGATCTCAGCGCCATCTTGTTACACGAGGTAGTTAGTCGAGGTTATAAGGAGGGAGGGGTTAGAAACTTCTAGCAGCCATTTTGTCTAAATATGCGTGAATAGCTTAACATGGCAAATCATATGGGTGGGGCATTGTGAGGTCACATGGGGGGCGGCAAACTTTACTTTTGCCTAGGGCGGCAAAAATCCTTGCACCAGCCCTGACAGCTCACACAAGCAAACAGCTGATAAACTGGCCGCACGGAGGAAATGTGTATGTGTGACTGTCTGCCTGTGACTGTGTGTGACTGTCTGCCTGTAACTGAGTGTGTGACTGTCTGCCCTGTAAATGTGTGTGTGTGTGGGGCTGCAGGAGTTTTTGTAGAGGGGGCTGAGGGGGTTTTGTATTGGGACAGGAGGAGTCTTTATAAGGGGGGATAGGCAGGGGGGATTTGTGGAAGGGGGTTGCTTGAGGGGGTTTTGTGAGCGGAGGGGCAGTACAGAGGATTTGTAGAGGGGCAGGACAGAGGTTTTGTAGGTGGGGAGACAAGGAGTTTTGTAGGAGAGGCTGACAGCCCCGGTTTTGCAAAAGTTTACAAATTGTAAAAAAAAAGAAAGAAAACCTTTAACACATTTTACAGGGTTTTTGGTTTTTTTTTTTTTGGGTGGGGGGTGCAAAGCACAGGATCCGCCCCGGGTGCCAAATGCTCTAGGTACGCCCCTGATGGGATGATAATGACAGAAAAGAGAGCAAAGCCAAGGTCAATTATTTAGTCTTGAAATTTCATTTTGGTCTTTCCACACTGCTTGTACACACATTTGTTGTCAGGAATGCACCATGTGATGAACCGTAACATCATCAGTGGCTACTTGCACTGTAAGTATCTTAGACTGTCATGTAACCCTGTAAGACAGCATGCGAGATGTGTGATCAAATAACTTACTCCCTAGTAACAAATATAGGTACTTGCTAATTATACTCAGTAGACCAAGAAAGCACTTTAAAATTACCATGTTCTAAAAGACAAACCAGCTGATAGTATAGCATGGGAATAAAAGGAGTATAATTAATCAGTACACAGCTATAAATATATTTAGGTTATAAAGCATCTTGTGATGTTCTACTTTACCAGAAATTTTTTTCGAAACATTATACCAAACATTAAGAGCCTGCAGTGCTAGCAGAGCTTAGCTCATTGGCTGAGAACACTTAGCTAATTCTCTCAGGCTCAACCAATTCACTGTCATTTAGGAGTTAAATCACTTTATTTCTGTTTATGCAGCTAAAGTTGTTCAGGTGACTAAAGTGTCCCTTTAACTCAGTGGAACTATTGGAGCTCCTTGCAGGAGCTTCTGACTACACAGGAGGTTGTCACTGGTGGCAATTGTTTTCAGACCTTCAATTAACAGGTTAATTTCCCCCCCTATGGACAAAGATTGTGTACCTTGCTACATGGAAATGCTCACAACTTGTAACCTGGAAGGACAAGTACAAACAAATGCTGACCATTTTTTTGTTGTTGATTTTACTGTACCGAAAATAAAACTAGTAAAATAGGATATTTTAGATTTAAAAGGAGCATGACTATGTTGGAATAGCAAGTTGATCCAATACTTACCACTAGATGTCATTATTACACATTTTATTCTTAAAACACCAATATATGCCAGCTAGAATGTTGTAAACTGGGTAAGCAAAACATACAATGATACATGATACATTTTGTCATATAGCAAGATACTATGTCCAAGGGCATACTTGAAAACGAGAAATCTCAATGTACCCTTCCTGGTAAAAAAAAAAAAATATGTATGTAAATAAAAAGTAAATAAATATGTATCCTGAGGAGAAGAAAGATTGTCAGGCATAAATATAGATCCAACTATATTGCTTATAAAAATTATGTTATATAGACATATCAAGTTACATGTTGGCACCATGTGACACCCAATTTCACCTCAGTCCTCCCAATCACCTGACACACAGGATCCACACCCATTAACATAAGGATAGACGTAACTTTCACTATGTTTGTAATGCCAATTCAGGACATTTAGTCCCATACATTGGCAGTTTATCATGTTGGCTTGCATGTGCACCAGGATAACCAGGATAACCAGGATTTCCTTTTATTACAGAAGTTTGGTCCTTAAGGGGTTAAGGACAGGCACAATAAAGTCACAGATATAACCATGCACTGGCAATTCCTACTCAACCTATTCCATCTAAATGTGGGCAGTTTATGAAAAGCATATACAGCCAAGTTATAAGGATTTAAACAGACAACTGACCAATAGCAAAATAGAAATAAAGATTCTGATGAGAATTTTTTTTTTTTTTTACAAATTTGTATTTAAAACAAAACAAAACAGCTGAATGTGTTACATTTGGTGGAATCAGCTGCATTGTTTCAACTAAATATCACTCTGCTATTTCAGCATTTGCAGTTCATCCACTACATTACAGGGTTGTTTAAGTCCCAACAATTCACTCTTTGCAATGTTATTCACTAAACTGTGGATTGTGGGGAATTCAAAGCTTGCAGCAATTGGAGGCTCTGTTCTTTGAATGGGGGCAGGTGTTTTTTGTGTATGTGGAGAAGGCTAAGCTGGGGGGAGGGAGTGTGGTGGCTGAATTGTGTGTGTGGAGTGAGCCTAGTGTTGCGTGTGGATTGAGTGGTAGTCTGAAGGTGGCTGTTCCCCCCCCCCGATAGGGCGCGCCAATGAACAAACCCAAACCTGCCAGAAAAGGGACATTTGAGAGATATATTCAAAATATAAGGACATAATAATCAAACTGGAGACAAAATCTTCAAATTAGCCACATTTTCAGCTGCACTTTTTCCCCCTGAAATGTATTTTGGCCAGTAACCCTGCTTGTATCACTCTAACCAAACATAACTACCACCCATAGCACCGTGTGATCCCTGATTCTACCATTATCACCACATGGCAAATGTTATGTTCTCATCTTGGTGCGACTGACTGCAACAATACCACCCCCCTCCTTTCAGGCTAAACATCTGTTTCCTGTGCTTTAAAGTCTTCCCTTCCCATCAGCCCTCACGAGATTTGACACGCAAACTTCCCTAACGTTCCATCCAGAGGCGCGTGTTGAATACGAGGGCTGGAGCGCACTTTCAGACTCCAGCACGTAGACGAGCACGACGATTCTGATTGGTCGATGCTGCTTGGGCACCTCCCCTCCAGCAGGGCGGGAATTCTGAGAGTGCAGCTGGGTGGATTGGCGGGAGCTGTCATCTGGACCGAGTGCAATGGCTGCGGGCTCGGAGGTTCAGGTGAGGTCAGTGTGCCGCTCGGCATATTATTAACGGCGGCTGGGGCTCCCTCTCTCCCAGCGTTACTAGTGGGTGATCCAGGGGGTCGGTTACAGGTTGAGGAGAGATTATTTAGTTCTAAAGCGGGATTCCATAGAGCGTTTTTGAAAACACAGTGTTCCAATGTAGGTTCTGGCCTCTGAGCTCGCATGGATACACATTGTGTGTAATGCTTTTGTCCGACTGCATTTTAACCAGCTATTCATAAATACGGACATCATTCCGATCTTTCAATTACTTTAAACTTGAATAGTGCAAATGACTGATAACTGAATTAATTTGGTGTTCTGTCCATTAAAGGGTAAATATATTGCTGTATATCCTAAACCTGTGTCATTCGTTGACCCAGTCATGCTGTAAGTTAACATATTTATTATTTTTTTAAATTTTTTAATATTTTGGTTTTCAGCATGCTTTCTCATTGTGTACTCGAACAAAAGCTCCCCGTTTCTCCAGTCTGGTAAATCACCCTGTGATTGCAGTACATTCCAATTTAAAGACGCTTTACTTCTTGAACAAAAACATATTTTTTTTTTTCCAATTTACAAATTATATTCATGTGTCTTTCTTATTTCTAATTTTTATTTACTTTCAGAATTATTTGGGGTTGGAGCTTAATTCTGATGCCAAGGGTTTAGAAAGTGATTCAGACAGTGGTCAAGGTAGTTGTGAAATGGCCTCTCCTGAGGAGCTGAGTAACAGAATGGAGTGTCTGGAAGAAGGTATGTCACTTTTGTTTGCTGTCTTGATTTTGAAATTCTTAACTTTTTTGTTGGAGAGTCTGTTACCAATGGTGTTGCCCCACTTGCGTGACAGGATTGGAAGGTTCGCCACACTGGTTTTCACAAAGTCAATCCGTCTCTTTGGTTGAGAACATTAGTACAGATGATCTCAGCCAATGCAATCTTTCACCAAAGGGAAACAGGTTAATGCGCATGTACAGCAAAACTATGAGACCATCTGATTAAAATAGTCAAGTTTAACGTGGCTATTGCTGCTCAAGTGCCTCTAGTGGCTGTATGGGGGACAACCACTAGAAGCATGTTAACCTCACAAATTTTCAGTAGCAGAGTTAAAACTATAGGGACATGACACTAACAACTTTATTGAGATGAAGTGAATGTTTGCCATTTAGAAGTTAAATCAAAATTGTTTCTATTTTGGCAGCCCTAGTCACTTACCAGGTTCTCTCATACAGCTTCCATGTATAAAAAAAATTCCAATCAGATTTTAGAGTACAGTGTGAGTTTAGACTGTATTTCCTACTTTTATTTAACTTTTATCAGCGCATTATGCTCATTCAGGGTCTAGCAGGTTAACAGAACAGGAGATAAGAGGTTCTAAATTAAACTGTGTGCAATAAAGGAAGTTTAAACTTTAGATCTCTTTCAAGGAATGTATAGGAAGGCTGTGTAAGTCACAAGTGGAGAGGTATGGTAAGGACTGCATAAGCAAAGTGATTTCTTTCCTAAATGGCAGAGAATTGAGCAGTGAGATTGCAGGGGCATGATCTATACACCATCATTAAAGTACCATTCCACACTCTAAAAGTACAATAATTTGATGAAATGCTTTATGGGCGAGGAGAATCCGAATGCAAAAGACACTTAATAAAACTATAGAATTCTGAGGGGCAACCCACCCATTACGGTGTAACCAATTATTGCCTCACAAGAGTAAGTTTTGCTTAGGGTGGAAGGGGGTTTCGGGTACACTTATTGCTAAAATGAGGTTTACTAAACTGTTATGCCCTTATTCTTTCAATGCATTGTAATATGTAGTATTATTATTGGCCACCCCTTCATGTAGCCTCAAATGAAAACTGTCAACTTCGAGGTGGTAAAAATGCTGTTGTGAAACCTCTACTTGCACACATGTATTATACAACTTCTTTATTACATTGCTTTAAAAAAATGTTTGTTTGGGCTGTCAGGGAGTAATAGGAGTTTCAATGCTCACTTGGTAGGACTGTCGTTTGGAAATTTGTCCACGGGGTTATGATTGACATGTTCAGCATGGATACTCTGTTGCAGCCAACTGCTGCATTTTACAAAGTTCCAATTCTTTGGCCAAGCTTTTTTTTAACACTGCAAAGTCCTTAATTCCTGCTCTGTGGAAAGTCAGTTGCCCGTACCCTATAACAGTGGTTAGCTACGGTAGAGAAAATTTATACTATAGAAGCATTCAGTATCTCTTTATGAAAACTCACTTTGACGTGTTTCCCTGTCCAGGGAAAACGAGCATTGTTCTCTTTGGCTCATGGTCCCCCTCCCAAATAGTTATTTTCACTTGCTTTGTTCATCCTTGTTTATGTGGTCAGGAATTGATTGATTTAATTAGGTTTAGATACTTCATGATGTGTGCAGAGCATACAGTTGCTGTTGAGGAACATTTTGTATTCTTGCTTGTTACACTCCTTAGCCAAAAGAGATCCTGTCCACCTTCATCGCATTTGTACATACCAGGCCTGCCTGTTTCCACTCTTGATATCCATTGTATCTTATCCAGTGCTTATCTTTGTAGAAATTGCTCAGTTACCCTTATCACAAGTGGAAATGCTCAGTGATACACGTAATACTTTTGTAAACTTTGACTTGACTGGTTTGGGGGGCATGTTAGGACATTTGTGGCAGGATATTCAATGCATCATAACCTGTATGTGCTACATAAACCGTAAATCAGCTAAATTTTTTACTATACTTTCTTGATCCTTTTTCAAAGGACGCTACTACTAACATAAATTTGAAGTGGTTATATCCTAGAACTCTGTTCCTGAAAACTAAATTAAATCTTTGATTTGAGATTCTCAGTCCCTGTATTAATTTCCGCACTCTTTTCTAGTTTAGCTACTCTGTTGCTTTGTCACTTGCAGGAACTGTGCAGTAATTGCCCACACATAGCAGAGTTATTTGTCAATCTTGGTGCACAGGTAGCAAATTAGTGAGGATTCATTTCAGGGACCACCTCCTAATACAATAACAACCACAACTAGTTGTACACTAGTATCTCTAAGACTATTTTTTCCCCCTGCCTTTAGTTTAAGGTCATATCTACCCTGCCGTCCCAAATAATAAAACATTTTTTACTCCGTCCCTGCAGCCGTCTGATCCAATGCTCCTTATAGACAAGCATTGGGGATTAAAAACACATGCATGGCCCACAGCTGCAGTCATCCAATTAAATGGTGAAGGTTATCTATGAGAACTGTTTGACTTCTGTTTGCATGCAGTTTGTGAATATTGTGTAACTTTTGTCTGTGGCTGTTTGTCCTAGTGTTTTGGTTTCCAGTCACATAATAGCACTAATACTTCAGTGATGCTGGTTATCGATTTCTAAATAGTCCTAATCAAATTACTTATCTGTACTGTTTGGATTCTGAGCATTGCATTTACTTGTCACATTTTCATATACATAAAGATTATCTTATTTGTAAACAGATTCTGATGATGAAATTGTGGTTTCCAAGAAATCAAAAAACAAGAAAATACTTGTGGAAAGTGACAGTGAGGGAGAGGAAGTTACAGCAACTACAGTCAATGAACCAAATGAAGAAAGTGAGGAAGAAAACAAGGAGAACTCATCAGGCCTTAAAGGGAAGAGTGGGCGGATTCGCTTAGTGCTATTGAACAGTGATGATAGTGAAAGTGAAGATGAGACTGAAAGTGGCAAAACATCGTTTCAGCATACCCCATCAGAGGTGCATGCCTCCACTTTGAAGGAGAATAAAAGTCGCAAGTTATCTAAAAAACAAGGTGGTCAAAAGGAAGATGAGGGAAAGGTAAAATCAAAGCGCAGAATGGAAAAGGCAGAGAAAAGAATGGCATCTATAGGAAAGCTGAAAAAAGATAAAAAGAAAAAATCACAGGTATTTCTAGATAAAACATGTCCCACCAAACGAATAACATATTTAACATCACTCTATATCAAACCTGTTCAAATATGCTCGTAATCCCACAAAAAAGTGTGTGTGTGTGTGTATGATAAGAACTAACTTGAGCTGGTAAATGGTTTTTATCACCAATGGTAAACTTTTTTTATATCCTGAAAAATAACTGCAATATTCATTTAGAGTGGTACAGACGGTGACATTCTATTTGCACATGTATACTTGAAATCTTCAAGTAACCATGTTTAAAAGAGAAAAAATTACAAAGCTTGCGTTTTTTTTGGCACTCAGGATTGTCACTTTGAGCAGCTTCTTACTTTGTAATTATTTTGCAAAGGTTCTCAGATGTCTGAGTTTGTGCTTGTGCTTCCTCTGGGATGGGGTAAAAGTCTAAAGTCTGAGTTTAAAGGGACACTATAGTCACCAGTGCAATTACATGTATTCCTGACCCCATAGTGTTAAAGGACCACTATAGTGCCAGGAAAACATACTCATTTTCCTGGCACTATAGTGCCCTAAGGGATGAAGGGGCTCTCCTCCGCCTCCTCGGCTGAATGCTCAAAGCATTCACAATGCTTTCCTATGGACGCTGGCGTCTTCTCACTGTGATTTTCACAGTGGTAAGCGCAGAAGCCTTCTAGCGGCTGTCAATGAGACAGCCACTAGAGGCTGGATTAACCGTAATATAAACATAGCAGTTTCTCTGAAACTGCTGTTTATAGAAAAAAGGGTTAAACCTAGCTGGACCTGGCACTCAGACCACTTCATTAAGCTGAAGTGGTCTGGGTGCCTATAGTGGTCCTTTAACACGACCATCTAGCCCCCCTCGGCCCCTCATGCCTCCATAAATATAGTAAAAATCTTACTGTATTCAAGCCAGAAGCTGTAAATCTGCATGCTGTTAGACTCAGGAAAAACAAGCAGTCTGCTGACATGTGATAGTCTGATCCAATCACAGTGCTTCCCCATAGGATTGGCTGAGACTGACAAGGAGGCAGATCAGGGGCAGAGCCAGCATGATTCTAACACAGCCCTGTCCAATCAGCATCTCCTCATAGAGATTAATTGAATAAATGAATCTCTATGATGAAAGTTCAGTGTCTGCATGCAGTGGGAGGAGATACTGAATCACAGGATGCTTGTGCACAGCAGATCTGAGTGGATGGAGGCATATTATGCCTCCATCAACTCCGAAGTCCCTCTGGTTCACTGTGAGTGACTGCAACTGGGGGTGTTCCTAGCTTTCAATGTAAACACTGTATTTTCTCAGGCTGCAGGAAACTATAGTTCCCACCTGAACAACCTCATTAAGCTGAAGTTGTTCAGATGACTATAGTGTCCCTTTAATGAAATTGTGTGTAGATTTAGGGAAAGTCTGTAGGTGACTATTTAATTCCACAGTTGACAATAACACTTTAATTACTGTCACATACTAGATACAACTTGAAGAGGAAGTGATTCCACTTAATGATAGTGGCTGCTTGCTAGCAAATGGAGATTTGTTTGAAAATGATGTTGAAGATGTGAGCGATCCTGCAGAAGAAGAATCCTTAGATGCAATCAGAGCTACTGTTATAGACAAACTAAAGGGTTGGTCGGTAGGTATCCTCAATAATGGCTTGATTTTTATTTCTAATTTTATAAACAGAAAAAGGAACATACAGCAGTATATTAAAACGTGCGTGGAATGGAAGTAGATAAACAATATTATTTAAGAAAAAAAACTAAACTGTATGAGTATAAATAGGGCAGGGAGTAATGAAGTAATGGGAAGCATCCAAACCATATTCACAAAGTAGTGTCCTGCTTTTTTCTTTCTTTGTCTCCAGCTCTAAAATAAGCTAGACTAATGATTTAAAAAAGAAAAGGGGAATGTTTATAATAACTTTAATTGCAGTCTACCTTCAGCTGTGACATGAGTGGAGCTACTGAAAATCTTCATAAGATATATGCCCCAACACATGCATTTATTTTTTTAGTGATCTTTTAAACTCTCCATAAAAAAAATAAAAAAAAACACATGACTATCACACACTTCAATACATGATGCGTACCTAGTCAGTCACACACATAATCCCTTTGCCAAGTGTCTGTATTGAGATATAGGATGACTGCATGTTTATTGGGTACTCATAAACTTACTAAAGTTAGATTTGTTGGGAATTCAAATTGGCTATTTTGGGTTTAGATTTAAAGTGAAAGATTAGTTGACTTGGTTATAAAAAGTTTACTTTGCATTCTTAACAATTCTCACTAACTTTAGTGAATGCCCCTGCTAGAATCTTTAATCCCATCTGGGGTAGCAGTGCATTATTTTTATTGGTTGCCATAACTTCAACCAGTAATTTCCAACATTCTCTTGACCACTTAACTGTCCTGGAAAATATGGGACATATTGTGATTTTATGTGCCCATTTCTATGACTGTACAATTACGGTTTCTCTCCTAATCTTAATGTTTAATTATAAATCATGAGTTTTATCAGTTTAGCATGGGTTGAAACAGAGTCTGGGAAATTGATCCATTTATAGAATTGGGTACAAAGTAAACCTTTGGCTTTGTTATATTTGAAAATACAATCTTGTCTTAATGGATATATTTACCCAGAAACTCCATCTTACAAGAGCTCATGGATGGTGGGGCAATAGATAATGGCTTAGGAGATATGGGATTCTTCCATGTACTGTGATACAAATAATGAAAGCTTCATGCAACTAGAACTAGCCTTAAACGACATGAATCTGGTGATTTAGATGTTTGGCTATGTCATGCTACTTTTCTGCATTTTTCTTTTTAGTGTATCATTTATTTATTTAACTTGTTTAAAAAGGTTTTTTTTTTGTTTTTGTTTTTTGTTTTTTGTGGAAATGCATGTAATTTCAGTTTTCCTGTGCTACTAGCCAAGCCTTAAAATGTACTAACCTGATGTTACTCACTAGGGATACATTTTAATCATTAATGGCGAGGACACTTCTTGATCCCTATTTGTGTTATTAAAAAAACAAAACAAAACTTATATTTATACATTTTCTCATGTGCCTACTCAGTCTGCTGATTATGAAGACTCTGACCCTGAAGAGGCGTTTAGTGACAGACCAGATCATGGAGATAAAAGAAAGGTATGCCCACAATTTGGAATCGACCAATATTGATTTTTATTTTTTTTACTTTAAATTTTTTTTTTTTTGGCCCCCCCCCTGCTTGTTACCTGGCCAGGGACGGGGGGATATAGCATTCCTTGGTGGTCCAGTGGCATGGACTGTGCAGTGGGAGCCCAGCAAGCTCTTACTTACCTTCCCTTCAGCTCCCCATGTGTAAATCTAACGGCCTGTGTGCTGCGCAGAGCGTTGCCATGGTAACCCGTTGCAACGCTCTGACTGCCGCAGGACTCACAAGATTTACACAGGGGAGCTGCTGGGAAGGTAAGAGCTTGCTAGGCCCCCCAGGACCGGTGGGCCTGGTATGTATAATCTGCAATATCTGTATATTTATTGGCCGATACTGATATTGCCGATAATATCGGCCAGACCGATAATCTGTCAATCCCTACATACAATATACTTCTATCCTCCTTTATTCAGCTGTAGGGTGTTTTTTGATTATTATGCTGACTTATTGGCCTTCATGTACATGTTTAGGTGGGAGGCAGCATCTAGGATGGGAAGCACAGTTAATGCTACTGAATGATTTTTCTTCCTAGTGCACTGTGAATGTATTGTTTCTCCTGCTTTTATGTTAAAGGAGAGAAAAGCTGCACGAATGAGCAAAGAGGCAATTAAACAACTGCACAGTGAGACCCAGAGACTTATAAGAGGTAAACCTATTAAGTCCCCCCTTTCCTTTCCTTCATGTGCTAGATGTACTGGTCTCAAGACTGTCAATAGTTACTTTGCTTACAATTGTTTTCTTTCCTAGAGTCTTCAGTGTCTCTGCCTTACCATTTACCTGAACCCAAAACTATCCACGACTTTTTTAAACGTCGTGCAAGGCCAACATGCCAAGGCAGTGCAATGCAACTTATTAAGTAAGATATACATATGTTTCATAATGGTGTACTTATGCAATGCACATCTAAAGCCCTGCAAGGAGTGATTGAAAATAAACTTGCTTTTCAGATAAAAATCTTCTGGCATTCTGATCTGACTTAACATTCTACATTAATAAAAGTATGTGAATAAGGGGCACATCTGTTAATGTTCTTTATTTTAAGTGCTGTGACAGGTGCACCACAGCTTTCTAGTTAAGACTACTAAATTCTCCCATACTACTTCTCAATTAAGTGGTCTTGGTCCAGTGGCCCTGTAGGTTTAACACTACAAGGTGAAAAATAGTTCTTGTGTGGGTGCTAAAAGCCAAACTCTTGAAGGGTTAAACATGCCTCTAGTGGCTGCCATATTGAGAGCCACTAGAAACTCTTCTGCTGTAATTGCAGTAAAACCCGGTCAAGCCAAATTGCAGCTAATAGGAAAGCATTGCATTTCGATGCATGTTCTTGCTACGCATGTGCGTCAGGTCCCTAATCATTCTCTATGAGAAGCATTGTATTCAACCAGTGATGAAAAATCATTGCTGCCACAATGTCGCTGGAGTGGTAGACTGCCTCGACACTGGAAACGGTTAAGGAAAAATCTTTCCATCATTTTTATTATTGCACATGGTGTGGGGAGCACTACTACTATGCATTACAAACACTTTAGTGTTCTTTTAACAGTTTATACATATTGTGACTTTTTTTCTTTTTTCATCTAAATTTAAAAGTACATGAAAAAACCTCTACCTACTTAGTTTTGCACACAAAATGGGTGATGTAACATTTTAAAAATTCATTACTGCTAAATTTTGTTCGTCTTATAGCTTCATGTTTGGTTTGTTATTGATGGAACATATGTGGGTCTAGAACAGAAAAAATGGAACACCTGAATTGGTAACAAGTTTTAAGAGATTTTCTAGAAGAAGCTCTGATGTCAAATACTAATTTTTCCACAGATCAACAAAGTATCAACCATGCAATGTTAAAGAAACAACTGTTCACTTGGTGACTCATGGATCAGAGATCCAAAAAAATGATTTTGCTGATAAAGTACATAAAATTGGGTCAGAATGCCCACTTCAAGAGCCCAATGACATGGAAACAGCTGATCAGGAAGCCGAAAAGAAAATTATTGCTGAGGTGCCGTGTGAACCAACAGTTACTAATGACCTAGAAATTTCTACAAAAACATTACCCTGTGAAGACCCATTGGATCACACGGAGTCCGTCCAAAGAGCCGTAGAGCAGGATGAAAATGAGATTGCTGAAATCCCCTTGGAAACCCATGATCCACAGAATGAAAATACAGTTCATCAAATGGCTCAAGACAATGAAAGCACTTCCCTAACCACAACAATACAAGCCATACCCAAGCTATCAAAGTTGGAAAAGTTGCGTGCTCTTGGAGTGGACCTATCATTAAAACCTCGCCTCTGCCCCGACAATGGCTCTTTTGTAAATTTAGATGAGCCGCAAGTAAATAAAGGTACTTAATTTATCACTGCACTTTTACATATACTTGTATAAACATTGCCCGCTATCATATACATATTGTAGGACTATAAATTGGCATATATGTCTTAAAGTATGTGCCAATTTATAGTCAATAAAGTTGTATTTGACAAACTGTTTAGTTTTTTGATGTATTGCCTCCTTCAGCTCCCAATGTGTAAATCTTTCCTCCCCAAACGAAAGAACAAAACCATTGTAGTGCCCTTATAACAGATTGTTACTCACAGGGTTATTCACTAAAGTAAGAATTCAAAGCGAATTTCAAATTTTAAGGTTTGCCGAACTGAAACCTAGCTATATTGACCTTAAATGTGAAATTTGCTTTGGATTCTCACTTTAGTAATTAACACTAGTATTGAGTGTATTCTAGTTCTTGGATAAACTTGCATTGACTGAACTCCATTCCTATGTTTTAGGAATAATTTGATGCAATGTTAAAAAAAAAATTAAAAAAAAATTATTTATTTGTCTTACTGTCTTAATTTGGTGTGCCTCAGCTCTTGAAGCTCTGAAAGAACGTTTCCTGAAGCACACCCTTCATAAGCCCAAACCTGTTGCTGAGAGAAAGGTAAACCTCACTATTGTCCGCAAAGAGGCCACTGCTAATGGGAAGGAGGAGCTAAAAGCAGATGTTGTACCAGTCACCATGCAGGGAGAAATCCTAGAGGAGCAAATTCATGGGAAACCAGGTATTTACTATGGATATTTATTACATCTTTAATAGTCCAAGATAACTACTACAGCATGCTGTAGTGGTAATGGTGCCAGGAGTTTTCTAATGAACCCTCCCATTCTCTCACACCCCTTAATGGTTTGTTGTCTTAACTAGGATGCACCAGTCACTAACGTTGGTTTGCAATGAGCCCTGAAAGAGTCAGCAGATTGCTTTTAACTAATGAGCTTAGCCCTGCTCAACTAGGCTTCTCAGAGCTGAACGCATCTGGCTATTACAGAGCCAGGACTCTACTGGCACCATAACCACTATAAGTGCTTTGTGTGTACCTGCGACATTAGGTATATCTCATAGTTCTCTGCTTTTGCACCCATCCAGGAGAGAAGCTGCAGGTGCTGAAAGCAAAACTGCAAGAAGCCATGAAATTACGTCGCAATGAAGAACGTCAGAAGCGTCAGGCTCTCTTTAACTTGGATAATGAAGATGGCTTCTATGATGAAGAGGAGGAGGCAGAAATGACTGAGTCTGAAGAGGAGGAAGACGGAAACGCAGAGGTAAGCAACCTTTCTGTCTAACTTCAGAGACAAAACCTAATAATATTCTATCTGTTCAAGAATTTTTCCGTAAATTGTTATACGGACCATTTGGGCTTTCTTTTTAATATTTACACATGCACACATCAAGTATCGGTAACATGTTAGAGAAACAGGGTGAGAAAGAAAAAAAAAAAACAGGGTGCCTGGTCCCTCTCTTTGGATCCAGACCTGAACCTAAACCACCCTGTAAATTATGGCTACTCGCCTAGCAACCTGAGCGGCTACAGTGTTCTCTCAACCAAACACTGGTTTAAGTGATTAATAGCTCTTCTGACCTATACCCAAACACTAGACCAGACTGTGTGCAAGGACAAGACAAATCTGGTTTATTGAACAACCGTACAAGCACTAGTTGTTACATAAATATGTGAACTTATAAATCGTTGGGAGACTGCAGTGATCCATTCGGAACACACACTCCTGGTGCCAATATGTCTGGGCTGAGCTAAGTGTTAAGGGGGAAAAGGGAACCAGCCGCTGTGTATACTATGAACAAAAATGGAAAAGGGGAGGTCTCTGGAGAGAAGCTCAATCAATCTAAGGGCACCACTGGATAGGGTATACCCTCAGCTACCTATATTGTAAAGTTAAAGTGTTCTGGTTACCAGGGGTCAGTGAGTGATCAAATTCATTACTCCTTTGTTAAGAACCAATCTCACACAATATTAACACATTGTCAGTAGAGGTTAACACTATAGTCCCCATGTCTAGTGTCTGGTTTTTAATGTTCCTTGGTGATTGACCTGTTAATTACACACTTTTAGATGTTCAATTTGGGACTCTCTCATATGGACATCTTTTTTAAAAAATTTATTAACTCTTTTCTGTTTGTTTCTCACATGCATCTCATTTTCATGGGGAATTTCACAGACCACATGTGTCCCAAAACTGTTAACTGTAAACTCAATCTTTGTATTCTGCTACTCCCCTGGAGTACAATAACTCAAATGTATATCTTGCCACCTGTTAAAGGATTTCTTGTGTAAAATAATTTTGCCCTAATTTTGACATGTCACTTTACTTACCTCCCAGAGTTGCTGTTTGGCGAGGTGACATGATCTGTGTTACTGTATTGACCAGCATCACACTTGGACACTATTTCTAACCCTAGCCCTAATATAGATGAATTGGGGATTTACTCTGCTTACACAGTACAACATGCTTGTACGGTGTAATTACAGCATGGGAGGGAGTCAGCTTTATACCATCCATGGTGGTGCTGGCTGAGCACTGATCGCTGTCTTCAGGTAGACATGCAGGAGAGACCTGAAAGTTTGGTTTTTTTTTCAGTTTTCATTGGTCTACCTGTTTCAGAGTATTAACAGTGGTTTAACATGGTCATTCAGCCTCAGTGATTCTTTTTAAAATGACTTCTGCACACATCTCATTGGTCAGTGTGGGGTCACTAAATATGCCAGGTGGTGTCAAAAGGGAGTCCCAGGTTTTAAACAATACCTGGACCCCCCAGTCCGTCCCTGTATTTGTCTCTTTGTAACAAAACTACAGAATGTTCCACACTCTCCTAAGGGACTGTGAAGAACACCCAGAGTATGCTAAGGGTTAATCATAAAATTAAATCTGTAAACAAATAGTGCAGGAAACTTACTAATTTTTAGTTGCTATCCAGGCCTTAAAGCTTGCTTGCTACCACAAAAGCTTGCCACCGCTTTTTCATTCATTAACTTATGTGATCATGGTGTTGTAAGTGCATTAATGCAGCTATATATTTTGTGTTTAGTGACATTAACAGTGAATGCGATAAGGTGTGTATTGTACAAGTGCAGGGATACGTTTCTGTAAGGCACCAGTGTTTCAAGTAAGGGGTGATTTTGTGAGCATGTTTGCACCCAATTCAGCACTTCATGACACTAGCCAAAACCCTACTTTGTCATCTCCAAATTTCCCAGCCTGTGTGTATTCTGGTCTTACCAATCCTTATGGCTCTTTCAGCCATCAATTTGTTTAAAAAAAATGTTTTCTCCCTCGTCCTGTGCCCTTTACAGTGAGGTAGCTTCATGGAGCTTTGCCTAATTGAATCCAGATCACTACTGCTTGCTAGAGGGATGTGATCTTGGATGTCTGTAAAGATAGTTGCTGGTAATTGATCATTGATTAGGCTGGCTCCCTGCTGCTTTGCTTGTTACCACCAAAAACGGTTTCTGGAGTTCTGCTTCTCTCTGTATTTGCAATACAGTGATAAATATGCAAATGAGCTTAAACTACTTTATCACGGTTCTAAGTCTTCACCCTGCTTCTATAGTTCTGAAAGTTCAAATGTGGTGTGTGCAAACACAGAATGGCACTGTAATTGAAAATGTAATTCCTTGATTCAGTGCTACTCTCCTTGCATATGGATATCTGGACTCTGCCAATGAAACATGCTTAAAGTGAAATGGAAATTACTTTTGTTTGCTTTGTATCTTGTTATTCTATAGACTGCTGAGTATCTTCTAGGAGAGGGGGGTGGAGATGAGGATGAAAATGAAGATTCTTCAAAGCCTGAAGTTTTAGAGAAAGATCTAACTGAAGTGTCTATACCTGAGAGAAGACCACGAGCTACAGAAGCTACCTTGATGTTGTTTAAAGATCATTCCACAAAACATGGGTATGTCTAATTGCATTTTTTTTTTTTTTTTTTTAATGTATTTGTAAGTAGGAACATAAGTGGCAGTACAATATACAACACTTGCACACGAGGCAGGTAACTACATTTTTTACAAATGAATTATTAAATATTGAATATTTTTGACATCAGAAGTGTAAGTACAAGCTATAATTTCTTTTCAGGCATTTATTGTTGTAATTGCATATTTTCTAATAGTTATACTTGAACTTTGGGATATGTGTGGAGACAAAAAATGTGCAATCATAGTGAGCAAGCGCATACATTTGCATAAAAATAGCACAATCTTTAACTGGTTCTAAATCAACCACCATTCCTTATTTGATGCCAAGGGTCAAATATTTATTTTTGTGCGTAGTAGTAGCCACTTTCAGACTGTGATATTGGGTACAGTAGACGGCTTAAGGTCCGTGAGGAACGGAAGGGAACAGAAACCCTATTCTACCATTGAACCAAATGAGTGGCAGAAAAGAGCAACATTTAACATTGGATGACAATTAGCCAAAATGTCCAGTAACTTAATTTTTTCATGCATCAACTATCAAATGTGTGCTAAGAGAGAGACCCACTTTTTGTTAGTGCTGTATCTAATCCCTGAGCTCTGCTTTTGTATTTTAACACTAATTTTCACACATTGAAGCTTTTCTTTGTGCTATGAAACATTAGCAGAATTACTTTGTGTCAACCAAAGTTTAATGCACTATTGTGTTTATTTCTTGCAGAGATTCCCTTCCTGGTAAAATGGATCATGGTGATAGTGTATGCAAAGGAAATGGCAAGATGGGTAAATAATGCTTTTACTGTTCACAAAAGCTGTCACATCAGTTACAGTGGTTACTTAAGCAGATTAATGGGGCCGTTGTCAACATTAACTAGAAGGCTAAATGTATGGAAACAAAAACAATCAAGTTTCTTTATATGTGAATAGTGGCACCTGAGGCTGTATTTCATAGATGGCTCATTTTGTTTACTTGGTGTGTAGCACTACACATGTGTAATCATTCATCTGGATATTTATTTATATATAAATCTTTTATAAAGTTGATCTGCACCTGGTAAATTGTGTACCAAGACAACTTTTCAGGATTTCGTTCTCAAATCCATCCTCATGCAAATGTTTTGTAAATTATACATTTCCCTAATAAATGGTAGGCTAATCCAGTGTTCCCCAACCCAATCCTCATGGACCACCAACAGTCCAGGATTTAGGTATTTCCCTTTTTTATTCTAATGGAGATACTGACAAAACCTTGACTGTTGGTGGTCCATGGGGACTGGGTTGGGGTCAAATCCTCCTTAGGGTGCACCTCTAATTCTTTGCATAGCTCCAAGCTGGATCATATTGGGATGATCTTGAGAAAGCTACAACTGAGAGGTTTGCTGACTTTCCACATTAAGTGGCAATCTTCTTAATGCAAACCCTACACATTGCTGTAATGATTAGAGCAGTGTTTCCCAACCCAGTCCTCAAGGCACACCTACCAGTCCAGGATTTAGGGATTACCCAGTTGTGTCTAAGGTGTGTTTTTTTTTTTTTTTTAATTCTTTGTAAAAACACCTTAGACACACCCTGTAATCCCTAAATCCTGGACTGGTAGGTGTGCCTTGAGGACTGGGTTGGGAAACACTGCATTAGAACACAACCTTGGCTGACCTTTTGACTTACTTGCTTTTAGAATGCTCCCCATGCTAACCTACTTAGAAGCATGCTATGTCTTTTTGATAGCCCAATATTATAAAAAATTGTGTGCACTGCAGAGGAAGTTTAAAACAAAAATAGTGCCTAAAGCCAAATATGATTATGGTCCATTTTACAGATGTTTACATTTTTAAAACTTATTTCATAATTGCACAATATAGTGTTCTACATTGGGATAATGCCTGGCCTCCATATTTGTAGGCTATTGGCTTATGGCATAGCCACCTCAGTGAAGCATATCTCCACGGAACATGTGATCAATATTTTTTTTTTTTTTTTTTTTTAGAATTAAACCATAAAGCATGAATAACGTTTAAAAATGTTTTATATCACTTCCCACTTTATGGTTTACGCTTCCATAACACATTAGGCATAGATTTTGTAAGGTGCAAAATACATCTTTTTTAACAGAATTTTTATTTTTTTTAAAAGCTGACAATATATACATTTGCTAGTTGTATGACTGAGTTCCATTTAATCCTTTCTTCTGTTTTATAGGCAGAGAGATTAAACTGCAGCGATATATTTGGCCAGATATTTTAGTAGGCAAACTACATTTAAAATGCACTCTGGTGCTTTAATGTCACATGTTTTCTATACCCTGCTTATTATTCAAATTAAATGTGTGCTACACGTTAGATATAGGACAAACTATGTAATCCGAGGTCTTACTCAAACGTATAACATACAGAATTTGAGTAGTTTGCAAGCCATTCTATTTAAAAAAAAAAATAAAATTCTTATTTTCCAACTTTCAGTTGTTTGCATGCCTACAGTAAAACAAAAATCTAAATCTTACAATACATACTTATTCTCGAAGTACAAACATGGTACACAGTAACTTATTTTTTATTATTTTGATCTTAAGTTTCAGAGGAAGAAGATTCTCTTCTCAATAAGGAAAACAGCCACAATAGCAGTTTTGAACTTATTGGCTCAATGATTCCTTCATACCAACCATTCAATAAGAATGCACGAGGTTCCCTTCACTCTACAATAGGTGGATTCCGCTCCCCATCTCCAATGCACTTTAAAACCAGTTTCCTCAGCTCTGCATCAAAGGTTGGCACTTTTTTTTAAATTTTATTTTTTATTTTATGTATTTCTACAATTTAACATGCTTCTCAATAAATCTATATGCTGTAATTGTTTTGTTAGCTTTCCCTCTAATGCAGTGGTTCCCAACCCAGTCCTCAAGTACCCCCTAACAGTCCAGGATTTAGGGATTATCCTGTTGTGTCTAAAGTGTTTTTAGAAAGAAGGGGGGAAAAAAATAAAACACTTTAGACACAACAGGATAATCCCTAAATCCTGGGTTGGGAACACCTGCTCGAATGTATGTTAACAGAAATTGCATTACCAAAAAAATTGAAAGTTAATTTTAGAGTAAATGGTAAATTCCAGGCCTGACAAATGTTAATGCACATGTAACTTTAAATCTGAAAGAAGTAACTGCTGATTCATAACCATTCTTTTGTTTTTTTTGTTTTTTGCATATTTGTATAGTTAACCCCGATTAACTTCTAATGATTGCTTATAAAGTGCAATTTGTGTATACTTTCGATTTAATGTATCAAGAGTATCTCACTGAAAAACTGACTATCTTTTTGTTCTCAGAGTTCTGGTAAGATGTCAGAACCATCTCTTCCTGTGGAAGATTCACAAGATCTGTACAATGCCTCACCTGAGCCCAAAGCTTCATACCTCTGTGCTGGTGGAGACTCGCAATTTCAATTCTCTTTGGAAGATGACACTCAGAGCCAGCTGCTTGATGCTGATGGGTAATGCATGAGTTATCTGATGTGCTTTGTCTTTTTATGTAGCTACAGAATTCTCTTGTCACACTGCAGTGCAGGAGTAGGCAATCTTGTGTACTCGAGATGCTTTGCCACCATTATGGGAGCTGTAGTCTACACCATCTGGATTGCTGAATGTTGCCTACTCCTGCTGTAGTGCATCAGTCAAACACTAATGCACAGTCTTTCAAGATGTTGGACAGACTTAGAATGGTGTGTAACACTTTTATTTTGCAAGAGCTCACAAAAGTATTTGGTTTTTGTTTTTAATTTTTTCTGCTTACACCCAGATTTGTTTGCCACAAATGAATTAACTTAAAATATTTCATGTCATTGCACCTCATTATGTAAAATTCTTCATATATTACAAAGGACAGGGCTATACATTTTTTTTAATGTATTTTTTTGTTCCCGAAAGGTTTCTAAATGTTGGCCATCACAGGAGCAAATATAGCTCTGCCAAGCACCGGTTAACCCTGGATACTATGGATGAGAATGCCATGGACGCCAACATGGGCGAGTTGCTGGATTTATGTTCAGGGCAGTTCAATGATGCCTCTCAGGCACTTGGTAAAGAGAACAAAGAAGATGCAATGGAAGAATTACTGGGGCTTTGTTCTGGCAAGTTTGCATCACAAAGTAAGAGCTTATAGTAGTTCATATTAGAAACCTACATTCATTATCAATTAGTGTTTCTACTTTTCCAATTCACATATTACCGATGCAAACAATATCAAATTATTTTTAAGGTCGTTGTGATTTTGTCTAAGTCCCTCCATGTGAGAAAATGATACAAGTGAGAAAATCAATATAATATGTATGTAGACTTTCACCTGCTTTAAGCCAGTTACTATTGGGGAACGACTCATGGGGGAGGGGGGGGTAGGGAGGCAGAATGGCCCGCCCCAGTTGTCACATTGTAAAAAGGGGTGGCTGGGACCCATCACACACAGTTCTATTTTTCTCTCTTCAACTCTCACTAGCCCCTGGCCATCTGTGCAGCATACTAGGCTTGTGAGAGTTGGAGAGAGGACCTGCCGGAAACAGACGATAGCATGTGCTGGGTGCCATCTTCCCCTTTACAATGTGAAACTCCCTGGCAGTCCCACAAAAGCCACCGGACCACCAGGGAGTGTAATGCCCACTCCATGGCCACAGGTGAAAGACTGGTATGGGGAATAAAATGTAATAACTTTTATTTTATTTATTAAATATACACACACACTGCATCCACCGTGCACACAAATATTCTTAAACTATCTTTTTAAATCTGTTTGGCATGTGTATTTTCTTCATTTACCTCTCAAGAGATACAAGAAAAATTCTACACATAGCTGCCATTAACTAATCAAGTTTATTTAAAAAAAATATATAAAAAAAATTATATAATTTTTTTATTTTATTAATTTTTTTTAATTATTATTTTTTTTTAAATAAACTTGATTAGTTAATGGCAGCTATGTGTAGAATTTTTTTTTTTCATTTAGAATTAAAGAGAATATCGATACAGCTGTCCACGCAAAAGGCCACCAATAATCTGTATCGACCATTAAAAACAAATGTAGTGCGATCCCTAGTTAATATAGATTATTGCTATAATGCATTTATTTCCTCCTTATAGGATTTGACATTTCATGTGTTTGTATATATTTGTAATTGTTTTTTTAATCTTGTTTGTTTTTGAAGCTGACACTTCAACTCAGAATTGTTCTCCTTCAAAGTCAGGCAAAGAACCTCGGGATAAAGATCTTGTGTCTGATGCAGCAGCATTGTGTTCTGGCTCCTTCCCGTTGGAAAGGTATCTCACAAAAGATGTGGATGCTTACATACATGTTTATAATGAACCTGTTATCCACATTTCAATTTGAAATTTGTTTAATTTTATTTTTTGATGTTCTAAACGGCTTATTGGCTGTAATAAAGCAAACAAGTGATTTCGTGGGGCTACACCATAATTTTACTATTCTTGAATATCCCACTCATTTACTTTATTCTGATGTTGATTGTGTTTTTTGAGACACATAGGTAGCCGTAGCATGAAGCAGGAGCTTAATCAAAATTAAAGGGACACTATAGGCACCCAGACCACTTCAGCTAATTGAAGTGTTGAAAATGTTTGCATTGCAGTACTAAGTCTGCCTCCAGCCACTGAGGGTGCTTCCTGCATCAAAACTGACCTTTTGTCTGGTAAATAACGCTGGACGTCCTCTTTGCATGAGGATATCCTGTGTCAGATTTTTTTTACCCCCATAGGAAAGCATTGATTCAATGCTTTCCTATGTGGAGGTCAAATGTGCACACGGCTCGTCATGGTGCGTCTGCGCTGGAACAGGTAAGTAAAGGGTTTTTAACACTTTAATGCAGAAAGGGGGAGGCAGAGGGAGTGATAGTGCCAGGAATACAGCTTTGTATTCCTGGCACTGTAGTATTCCTTGAAGTACTTCAGATTATCCTTCAGTGAGACAGTTTGTTTTTTTGTTTTTTATTTTTTATATATGTTATCTAAATATATTGGCTTTTGAGATGTTGTCAATTGGTCTTGCTTTTTTTTTTTTTAAACTATGTAGACTCTTCAAAACTTTATACTACCTAGCAGAATTGATGTAGAATTGATGTCACTATAGCCACAGTAACATAAACATTTCACTCATACGGTTATCCTGTCTCTCCACAGAGAGGAAGAGGAGGAGGAGGAGTTTGGCGATTTTCAGCTCTTACCATGTGAAGACTCAGACAGTGAAAAGGTAACTTGGAGCAAATTACTTATGGTTAACATCAATGTGAGATGCATAATCTGAAAAAAATAATTTTTTTTAAATGTACTGCTAAGTATGTATTATCCTCACATTATGCTGCCGACTTCTTTACATACATATAAAATCAACCACTAAATGGTAATGATTTTACTCTCAATCTTGTCAATCTTTATTGTAAGATTGTACATTGAACAAAAAGTAGGGCCCACCTTCTTCCTCATGTAATTTTTCAATTAAAAACAGCACTTGTCATAAAAATGAAAACAGAATGCATGTTTTACAGCAAACTGAAGAGCTTTAGTGATCTGGAGTGTCCCTTTAAGTTACAAAAGATACTCAGTGTTCTATAATTTTGTTTGTGCGTGTATGAATAATTTTTTTAAATACATGTGTGTGTATTTATAACATTGTTCCTGGTGACTTTAGATTACTGGGCCCACCACTTTACAAATTAAAATAAAGAAAAATTAACTTCTCATCTAGTAGTATTATGGTGGACAAACTTGCATTCAAGCAAGGTGTGTAAACAAAACTGTATGCTGATGTAGACTGTAACAATAGTATACATTATAATTCCATGCCTCAAGACGTTGCATATCTCAAATGTTTATGAAATCTATCTATATGCCGTTATGACTTTATCACATTAGGACCCATCCTGTTTGATTGTCTAGCAGTATATTTCTGAGTTCTAAGTATTTAGAATAATGTGAGCAATATACTGACTTGAATGGGTTTTATTCCAGGAGGATGAAAGTAATGATGAGGAAAATAATGAAGGCAGTGATAATGAAGAAAAAGAAGCTTCTGATGAGGAAAAAGATTCTGATGAAGAGGAACTCTTAAGACAACACCAGAAGAAGAAAAAGCTGTAAGTTATGTCTGCAGACACAAATAGTATAATGTAAACATGATAAAGGGTACACTCCAAGAGCAGCGCTCTGTAGTGGTTATAATGTTAAGGGTTACCTATTAGCCCCACCCTTTATGTAATAGTGAAACTGTTTTAGAATGGACTGACTTCATACTTGGGGTCCACCCTACCTCTCAGAGAGCCATATGCTGATGTGGTTATGGTGCTTGGATTGTTTTTTAAATGTATCTGTATATTTAAAAAAGTGTTTATTTAATCCATATCTGGTTCCACTGCTGACTAAATGGCAGCCTAATGGAAGTTCACTGCATGCCTGGCATCTTCCTATAATCTACTTCAGTTTTGTTTTAGGGAACAGGTTATATGGGTTGAGTACTTTGTCAGATATTTACTAGTTTGTGCATTTACTAGTCATTCTGGAAGCATAATGTACACAAATGTATTGACAATTACAATGGAATGACTTCACTATTAAAATGATCCTTCACGTGTTTGGTTATTAAATTTACATCAGCAACATTTACAATCATGTATTTTATTTTAATTGTAGAAGGCTGAAGGACTTCATGGAAAATGAGGCTGAGCTGTCTGGAAGTGACATAGACAGTGGAGATGAGGAAGAGGGGGACGAGGATGATGAATACGAGGAAGAAGCTATTGATGAAGACCTCCCTTCAGATGAAGAGTTGCAAGACCAAGTCAACAAGATCCACATGTTAGTATACCTCTTGCACAGCAACATCTGATTTACCCCATTCTACAATGTAATATTGACTTTGCAGGATATTTGCAATGAGTGGTGAAAGACTGTGATGCCATCAATGGAATGTATGATTCCATGCACACTTACCTTTGGCCCGCTTTATCTTACTTCATTGAAAGTTAATGTCTTGGCAGTGTCAGATTAGGATTGAAAACCATTTCCATTTAGGACATAGAAACATTATACATTGTGTATCACAAAGTCTAAAAGAATAAACAAGTGTTTTTGAGAAAATGGTTATCAGCTATTGATCCTAAATTCTCCAAAATAAATTATTTGGGGGGAAAAAAATCGACTTTCAACAAGACTAATGTTAATTGGCCTATTTCCGCACTATAAAATTTATAGAATATACATATTCTACTTTTCTGTGACACAAATGACCAATATAACTTATGGAGCAAGGAATATCAATGTTGATCTTTTGCTGCGACAAACCTCTATATTTTAGAGCAAGAAAATAATTTTTTAACCTTTTTGTATTTGTATTACTCAACACTAAAAAATGCCCCATTCTTAAATACGCTTTAAGAGTATTTTTTTTTAATCCCTGATTTTTCATTTGCAGGAAAGTGACCATGGATGAAGACCAGCGTAAACTTCGCCTCTATCAGGAGCGCTATTTAGCTGATGGTGACCTCCACAGTGATGGTCCTGGAAGGATGAGAAAATACAGATGGAAAATGTTTGGTAAATTAATTTAATTACAGCTTCATCTTGAACATGTTTATGTAGCCTTTGAGCCACACAAGAGTAGTTTTTGTTTCAGGACAGGTTTTAGATGAAGGGAAATCCTGTTTTTAACCTTGGTTTATATAATTAACTTTTAATGTGCTAAGCCACATAGGTGATAACAGCAGGGGCAGTTTGTAGAGGGCAATGGGCTCTAAAGTGGGACATTTTTCTTAAAGGACCACTATAGTGCCAGGAAAACATACTCGTTTTCCTGGCACTATAGTGCCCTGAGGGTGCCCCCACCCTCAGGGACCCCCTCCCGCCTGGCTCTGGAAGGGGGAAAGGGGTAATAACTTACCTTTTTCCAGCGCTGGGCGGAGAGCTCTCCGCCTCCGATCCTCCCCGCCGGCTGAATGCGCACGCGCGGCAAGAGCTGCGCGCGCATTCAGCCCGTCGCATAGGAAAGCATTTACAATGCTTTCCTATGGACGCTTGCGTGCTCTCACTGTGAAAATCACAGTGAGAAGCACGCAAGCGCCTCTAGTGGCTGTCAATGAGACAGCCACTAGAGGATTAGGGGGAAGGCTTAACCCATTCATAATAGCAGTTTCTCTGAAACTGCTATGTTTATAAAAAAATAGGTTAACCCTAGCTGGACCTGGCACCCAGACCACTTCATTAAGCTGAAGTGGTCTGGGTGCCTAGAGTGGTCCTTTAATTTTCAGAACTGATCTTTAGAAACATTAATTGTACTTGTTCAGCTTCAGATTTTTCTCTCCGACAAATAAGAGAATGTTGAAGTCTACAGCAAATATTGGTTAAGGGTGCCAGACTGGATCACACTCCTTGAGCCCTGTGCTCTTTCTGGGAGTGTGTGTAATGGGTGAGTGTGGTCTGTGTGTGTGCATTTATGTGACTGTCTGGTTTTTCTGGCATCGTGTGCCGGTGTGTGTGAATGTGCAAGTATTTGTGTGTTCAGGAGCATGTATGGTAGTAGCTTGCAATGTGTGGAAGAGGAGGGTGATTTGTGTATGTTGTGTTTATGGTCTGGCTGTGTTTCATGTGTCTGATATAATTGTATGTCAAGAGGGGGCCGAGTTAAAGTCTCTCCACACTCTAATGCCTTTTAGAGTGGTCCGATGAGCTCATGTTGCAGCTGCAGTTCTTTCAGTCAGACATCAGTGAACAGTGACTTTTAATCTGGAGCTCCTGGGTCCTGTGTGTTTATCTATTTTCTGCGAATGTACAGTCTAACCTTATTCTGTCTTACCTAGATGATGCCTCTCAGCTGGACATGTTCCGCAGGGATTCTGAGCTGGAAGATCAGGAGCTTGATAATGAAGAGCTTGATGAAGCAGATGCGAAATGGAGGAAAGAAAGATTTGAGCGTGAACAATGGCTCCGTGAGCAGGTATACCTTGCCACAATCCTCTAAATGTTATTTGTGGGAATAATTTTTATTATTAAATTAGTAGTTGCATAACAGTTTTTCGGCGGCAATGTCCGTTATCTTAATGCAGTATTTGCTGACTGATTTGCCTATTTATTGCAGTCTTGTGTATTAGTTTCCCAAGATTGCTGCATTAGTCATACATCTGAAATCTGATTCAGACATACATCATAGAGAGAAACTTCTTTTGTAGGCTTTGAACTCTTAAAAATGTTTTTTTAATTGTTTAAATGATGAACTATTGGCAGGTGTTGCTAAAGTTGTTCACCCAAGTTTTTTACTCCTGGGAGTCTTTTGAGTTTTAGAAGTTTGCTGCAAGTGAGCCTTGATACCTTTTTACTTATTTTTTTTATTTATTTTTTCCATTATCTAGTCAAGTGGTCATGCTGCTCATGAAGAAGAGGAAGAAATTGGAGAGAGCAGCCAGTTCATGAAACTTGCAAAAAAAGTTACTGCTAAGGTCCTTCAGAGAAGAGGTAAAATAAACTTTGCCTCATTTACTGGATAACTGCATTTTGCACCCAAAGTTGTTTCAGATTTTTATTTTTTATTACAGCATTTACTTTGTCCAGTATGGCAATTCTTGATTAGTAACACCTTTTTTATGCTTTTCAGCTACCACAGAAACAAGTGAAGTAAAAAAACCTGTCTCAAGAAATCCATTTGAAGTCATCAGGCCTTTCAGCAACCCTAATGTGAGTAGCTAATAATCTTCTACTTCTTCTCTATTTCCACAGTCAGAATTTTCCTTTAAAGCAACTTTTCCACTTCTCAGAATTGCATGCAGATTGTTGAAAAAATTGTTGAAATCTGAAATCCCGAGGCTTGACTACATTGGAATTTCATTGAAATGCCACTACTAATTTCTGGAATAGTTTCCTCCCCACTGAGCTCTACAAGGATTTGTACAGCATCAGCATGCACTGCCTGGACGCTGCAGCAGTGCTGTAGAGTGTGCACAAAAGTGTTTTTTGTTTTTTTGGTTTTTTTGGTGTGTATTGGAACTATATTATGCATATTCAGGTACACTCTGAAGGGAAGTTCTAAAGCTCTGCATTCTCATCAGGTGAAGCTGTGGTTTGCATTCTATACTTTTGGAATATTATTAAAAATATTGCAATTAGAAACATATCCTTCATTGCCAATTAACATTTTTTTTTTTTTTTTGCAATCAGTAATTTAACAGGTCAATGTCATGGTTCACTTTGTAGCTGGCGCCAATTGGCTTCTCAACTATACTAAGCCCCTACTTTGTGTATGTAGTGAAATTTTGGGCACCCACTTTTAAAGAATCGTATTATGATGCTGGAGAATGAACTAGAAAATATTTGAATGTTTTAATTAAGGCTAGAAAACGTGAACTTGTTTACATTAGAGCAAACTAATCGGAGAGAACCTTCAGACATGTACAGGACCAGTAAAAACAGCTCTTTTGTAACCTATTCATTAAGCTGTTCAAAGGATAAGATGTCGCCTGTTTATATTTAGAGTAAAAGGATTCTTTACATTAATCGTAAAGTTGTGAAATGATTTTTTTTTTTTTTTTAGATGAAGACAGGCTCCCTTTTAAACAAACCAAAAGAAGTCCTGCAGAAACTTGCAGCAATGTCAGATCTGAATCCCAATGCTCCACGAAACTCCAGAAACTTTGTCTTTCAAACTTTGTCACCAGCAAAAAAAGAGGAATCCGTAGACAGACCAAAAGCAAAGGTAATTATTAAATTTTCTTTGATCAGAGATATTGTATATCTGTTTCCTAAAAGCATAGATGATGGTATCTACAGTTGTAAAAGCAACTATTAATTCCAGTCCATGAAGACACAGAATATTACAAACTGCAGTATAATTTCAGTCTTATTGTTTAGAGTGAAAAATGTATTTGATCGTTATTGATGATAGACTTTACAAATTTCTATTTTTCGTGACAATTGATGACTTTTCCACAAATTCCCTGTAAAGTATTTTACCATGTAACTTGAAAGTTTAAGCCAAGAAAGGGATACATATGATGTTCTTTGGACCTGGATATCTTAGGTGTGAATTGTAGAAACTGGCTATATAAGAGGGTTATGCCCTTCTATCAGGGGGTGTCTTCTGTAGTTTTCTCCCCTGGTTTCACTCTGAGGGTTATGCATGACTAGGGGCACTTCTTATATTGTAGAAACTGACTAATTGTATCATCATCCATCATTGCCTTTAGGATAAGAATGTAGGTTGGTTTCTCCTTTACAATAATTTTAATATCTACCGACCCAGAGGTGGATACCATCCACCTCTTTGTTTAACCTTATGTGTTTTCAGGCTATATGAAGTTATTTTTCTTTTTTGTCTAGTAGTTATGTATTCGATGCTAATAAAAGTTAAGGTTTTTGTTTTGCCACTATTTTATTAGACTGCTCTTTCCATTTACTCTCCCTATTGCTATTAATTCACATGCGTGATCTGTTCATTAATTTTGCCTTTTCATATTTATGGCGCTCCTCATAGTAGCATTAAAGAGGTGTGTTTTTATTTTTTTATTTTTTTTTTATTCCAACCACCATGACCACTTCTGCTTTTAGAAGTGGTCGTGGTAGTAGGAGTCTGGATATTCTTTTTCATATTGTAACACTGCACATCTAGAGATATTTTTAATTGTGTTGCTGGAGGTAAGTTGTACCCCCTGCGTGAGTTATTTGGGCAGCACACTACTGTCTAAATTTACTGTGCATAACTTTAATTCTGTTGTCCACGCCCTCCAGCCAACCTATTTAGTCTGTAATTTTTGTAATTGTCTGTCCTCCCTCCTCGATTCTTTCCTCCCTTCCATCTTAATCATTAAGCATGCACTAGCAACCAGTATTTTTTGCAATATTGGTAAATTGTCATACATAATGTGTTTAGAAGTTGTAAATTCCTCCTGTGTTATCAAAAATCTCTTGTAACAAGTTGTCTTTAGGTGCTTCTTAAAGGGTATAAAGATCAAAAAGGTGTTGTGCTGCAAGCAGCATGAGTATTTGCACAATTATTGTGTGGTTTGTTAATCATTAGTGCTGATATTTGGACTTATAATACTATTGTGTGTGTGGAAGCAATGTATTACTGAAGCCTTCCACCATGAGATTCATTAAACTGTGTTTTTATAGTCTAAACAACAATGGTACTCTTCCTAGAATCTCTTGCTTTTCTACAGAATATGCTCCCTGGACATATGTTCTTGAAATTGTATTCTATAGCCCACATTTTGTTTGTTCACCTTGTTTTCCATCTCCTTTCAGGTACGAAAGAACATTGCCTTTGCCACACCGTCTCCCAAGCGATTAAAGTTGGACAAGCTCCACACAGTCAAGAGCAATAGTCGGAGCATCTTTCCTTTCTTGGAGAATTAATCTGCTCCACCCCAATCCACATTTGAGCTTCACATATTGTTTACTAATTGTGCATTGACAGATGGCCTGATTTAGGTGTTGCATTATCTACAGCTTCTGAAATTACTCCTTGTGATCAATATTCTTTGTCCCTTCAGCAGTGAAGCTTGTTTTCTATGGCCTTGAGCCCAAAGGAGGCAATACAAAGATGCCATTCTCTTTGGCATCAGTGTTTGCTTAAACCTTATTCTAATGTATCTTCTTCTATATGGGATCATCCTTTGTGTATATAGTTTTATTTTTTTATGTTGTACATGTTTTATGTAATGTAACTTATTGTTGCATTTGTTTTATGTAATATAGCCTTTCTCCAGCAGGTGTCTTTAGTCTGAGGTTACCTATTACTTGAATTCACAATTTGCAAACTGCAGTTTGTGCCATAAGCGTATTCCTAAATCAGTGCATTGCAAAACATCTGCAGTTTTACTGTTACTTATGTCTGATATGCTATGGAATCCTTTAAATACTATAAATGTTGCCAAGTAAAATGCCATGTCTGAAGCTGATACTTTTGCAAATCAAGTTGCACTGAATCTTCTACCTCACCATTTCAGCAGTTAATTTTACACACATTGTAAGCTCCTTTTAGTAAAAAGGCCATTAAGGTACCTATTAAGGCATCTATAACCTGATCAGCCATCACTTATTTATGGGTTTTTGAGTCTTAAGCTTTACATTTAAAAAAAGTTTTTATTGCTTTCAACATTTTTTATGCTTTTAAAGAATGTTGTTAATGTTTTTTTTTTTTTTTTAACAAGACATCTCTGAAATTGATTGTATACCTGTTAGAATGCTAATGTAAATTGGGAGTCTAAGTGTATGTATGTATGTATATATTCCAATTCATTGTCATCTGCAAATAATCTCCGCTGGTGCTGTCTAGTACAGTGGTTCCTAAGGCATGACCGTTCCAGGTTTTAGGAATTTGATTTGGACCATTTGTTTGCCTTGAACTGGGTTTAGAATCACTGGTCTAAAAAGGCAAGCAGTGCATCTTTGTCATTATTTGACGTAGAACAAAACTATCATTTTTATTAAATGTTCTATAGTTAACATTCAATGAATACTTCTTGTGCATAATTATAGTCTGATAAAAAACACTAGCACTGAAGAAGGGCAGCATTCTAATTATCCAACGTGTAAATTTGATGCTAAATTGCTTCTTCTGTGACCTTAATATAAATTCTCCAAAATTTGATACAAAACATTATCAGCACTTAAGTAAACCGTTAAAATGTAATGGCGTGGCTGCAACTATTCAACATTATATTTTGCAATGAAATGAATGAAAGGCTTTTGTAAAACAATTTGTAATATTGCTTCCTCTTGTAATATATTTTATTGTAAATGGTTATAGATTGCTTTTGAAGTGAGATTTTATAAATAAATGTTTTCATTGATCTCTTTATCTTTCCTTCAATATTGCAAGTAATGGTTTTAAGGAGTCATCCAAAGTAGAGATGTATGCTCTCCAAGTCAACGGAAATTTTTGGCAAGGAGTTCTTTATTGGTTCAAGTTGTTAACCAATCCATTTAAAATAGAAACTGAAATTTAGATAAGAATAACTGCAAGGTGGGAGCACCTGGCTGGTTTTAGATCTGGAGGATAATTTTGCTACAATAAGAAGGAATAGCTTGTTCAGAGGTTTTGGCACCGGTCCCAATAGCAGAAAGTCGGGGGAGAGTGGGAAAGAGGGCATGTTCCAGTTGACAAGGTATCTTTTTACATCAGTACAAAATGTTTGAGTGCACACTCCCACAGACTGTGATACAGGTCTGCTTTTGCGTGTGTGCATTTGAAACAGGTTGCAGAGTCTTTTCTAGCCATGAGGTGTAATCTATGGAGGGGGAATGGTAAGCGTAATGTAAAGTCTTAAGTAACACATCCCTATACGAGACCATGGGTATAAACTGACTGAATTTGTGCTAGAAGAATGGCTGCAGGATTTATATTTGGAAAGTGAGATTTGTCCTGTCTGGAGATTAGTTCAGTCTGGAATGTATCGCAGAAGCATGTAGAGTTTCGAGATTGAGTAGGCGGCCTCGGAAGAGGAACATAACATTGTATCTAGTGGGTTCTGCCAGTCTGTCGTAATAGTTGAGTAGTAGTGTCGCACCTGAAAGTAAGCAAACAATGGAAGTGGTGACCTGGGAAGCACACTTTGAGCTCTAAGAGTGTTAGAAATTTTTGAGCATTGTAATCCACAAAGGACCGGAGAGCTTCAAGCCCACAATCAGCCTGTAATATGAAGGGGTGTAGCGGTCACCCAGAGGTAAATCTGCATTGTGATGTAATGAAATGTGGAGCAAGCAGAGTGGATTGGCTCCTACTTTTGATCGGGTTTGCGTGCTAACACTAATAGAAGTGGGTTTGACAGGATTCCATCTGTCTATGAAGGGCAGACTACAAGTTCAGCATCGCCAATAAAGGACTCCTGAATCTAGTGCATGTCTGTTCAGCTGCCAGACTGTATTCTTCAGCATTTAGTAGATTTAACCTCCCATCGGCCTCATGTTTGTATAGTTTTGTGAGACTAAGGCGTTCCTTGTGTCCCCGGCCATAGAAAGTATGTTTCTTATTAAATCGTGCTTCGTCTTGTTTTGGAAAGCAATAAAGGGAGAACTTGGAGGGGAGCTAACCAGGTATCTCACAGGTCCGATGTGAAAAATAACAGGTCATCGGCGAAGGCAGAGATCCTCAGGGTGGCCTCAGCCATTGGAATCCCCTTGAACCTCTGTAGGGTCTCTATGGCTAAGTAAGGGCTCGATGGCTGTAATGAACCTCATGTACTTCTTGAAGTACATTCACACACTTCGGAAATGCGAAATTATAGTAATTATAACCTGTTTGCATAGTACGCTCGTTCGTACTCTCCCGAAATCCCAGTAAATCGTGGTTAAAATCAAGCGTTGTTTCGATCGCATACCCAAACATCAGTTGAGACTTGATGAAGGGTACAACAGGAATGTTTTATTGTCGTCAGATGGCCCACTAATATACGCAGACCCCCAACATGTGGTCTCCAGCAGTAACATCATAAAACACTCCCACAACATGCCCAGGAGTTTGTGTCTGGGAGATAATTGAGTGTACTTTGCTTAAACTAATTATCTCCCAGGCACTAGAGGTACAAAATATAAAATACCCCAAAATACATACGAACCCCCACAAATATATTCCCGAATGGCCTGGATCTAAGCGCCCAACATATCCAAATAGCGCTCAGATCCCATGAACACAGCCGAATCGCCACCGGGGTGAAGTTTTGAATGACCGCGCACGGGCCGTCTGCTCAAATTAGTTCCAGAGAACCAGTGGTAGCGGTCGGTCACCTTCTGGAGTTCCAAAATGAACTAAAAGTTGTGTTCGTTGGGTCGAGTGTCCAACTTGGAGTTCCAGACACTCGACAATCAAGCACCGCTGCCTGCTTTCGGAAGACAAGATGGCCGCTGTTTTCCAGCGCACATGTTAATCGGTTATACGAACGGCGGCCACACAGAGAGAGCACTTAAGTTCGTGGTTTTCTTTGAAGTTACATGAGCCAGGGGGATGGTTGGTGTTCGGTAGATAAATCTACCAAACGCAGGGAAAAATAACTTGGGCAAAGAAATATGGGGTTTTGTCACAATAGCTAAATTGACTAACAGCAGTGAGGGCGGGCAGCCCTGTCGCACACCTCTCTCGAGTGAAGTTGGGGCGTCAAGGACCTTGGTGGGGATACAGGTCATTGGATTGTGTTGTAAGTTTTTAATAAAATTTACAAAGGTGTGTCGGAAAAATCTCAACTTTAGCACATGAAGTCCGATCCTCTACTGGCCACTCTTGTTGCGGCCAGTGCCCTACGGACTCCTGTAACTGCCTGCCTAACTTGCACAAAGCCCAATTGATGAGCGGGGAGTAGGTTAGGCAACAATGTTTGTTTTCTCAATGCTATGACTTTAGTAAGGAGTTTTATGTCCTGATTAAGCAATGAGGTTGGACGGTAGGAGGCTAGTGCTTCCGGGCATGGTCATCTGGTTGAGTCCTGGCCAGTTTATTGAAAAAAAACAAAACACCATGAAACAATTTGACCGTTTTATGTGAGGTATATCGATTTCCCTCAGGAGAAGTAATTGCAGTGATGGGTTTAAATTTTGGACCTGGGAGAGCTAATATTTTTTTAGACCTTCCCCTCCCCAACCCCCAATGAAAGAATTGGGAATCCAGCTTTGACGGCGCATGGTTCACCATGAATATGTTAAGGTCACTTTGGCGTCTTGATATGTTTTATGCTCAACCTCAGGGTTCGTGTATGTTTTTGTCTGTGTGACAGTTTGAGGTCGTTTTCAACTAAAGGGAAGTAATGTCTCCACTTCTTTTTAGCTGATTAAGTGTAGGATATGATTTGTCCCCTCATGACCGCCTTGGACGTCTCCCAGAGAAACTTGGGGTAATCAGTGTGTTACCATCCATAAAGATAGCCCAACGGGACTGTAGATGACCCTGGAAAGACAGAGTATTAACGAGGTATGCTGGGAGAAAATGCCACTGCATGGTTAATAGGTGGGAGGGTGCAGTATGGAGCAGTAAGGTGATTGGTGCATGGTCCGAGACCGCAATTGTTTCATTAGTAGCGTTCGTAATACAGGGTAGCACCGCCGGGGTGACTAAAATTTTATCGATTCATGCACCAGAGAATGGCATGTGTAATCCCTCTCCATTCTGAGTAGTATTCACCACAGGTTGCATGAAGAAGCCTACGATCACTGTCAGCAGGAGGCACGGAACCCGACAAGGATCTGTCTTTGGATGGGTCAAGGATAGCATTAAAGTCACCCCCTATTTGGTCAATATCACTCTGAGTGAGTAACAATAGTAACTTAGTGAAAAAGGGTTTAGTACGGCAATTTGGAGCATATACTTTGACAATGCAAAAACAAGTATTCTTGATAGTGAGACATAAGGTGATTGGCCATTAGGATCCATGTCACAATTGGGGATTATGTATTGTAAGTTAGAGTGTAACAGAATAGCCACACCTCTGTCCTTGGAGTTGTATTTAGCAGTGATACAAGATTGAATCCAAGGAGCGTTGAGTGGTGTCAGAGCGTGACCATTGGGTTTCCTGCAAAAGTCTGATCTGGGCTTGGTGTTGATTTAAATAGGTGAGTATTTTTCTGTTTTCACCTTTCACATTACACTAAAGGAACTTGAGAGGGGAAGCAGGGATACTTTGTATTGATTGAGACATCCTTGTTTAGCCGATACCTCAGCGTGGAACATTTGGGGTTCCAGCACAAGCAGATAGTCCGAGAGATGGAATGAGCATGGTGTACAGCGAGTCTGGCATGAATGTGGCCCAAACTATATCGAATTTGGTCGGAACCAAAAGAATGTGAGAATGATGGCATTACTGCTTCTCATGATTAAGTAAAGGGTGGGCTGGCGAACTCCGCAACTCTTTGTCAAAGTCCAGCATGACATCCTGAAGGAAACTTAGAACCTCAACCACTGATGAGTGGGGAGGGTATGATTGCCAATTTGTAGGCAAAGAGTGGCAGGATACAGAAAGGCAAAACGGATACCTCTCTTGTATAGCTCTGAACAAATAGGTGTAAAAGCTTTTTGCTGTTGAGTGAATTGCGCTGAGTAATCTTTAAATACCAAGATTTTATTTCCCTGGTATGTGAGCGCATTCAAGGCTTTAAACTAATTTTCAAAACTTTGTCCTGAAAGCTGAGTAACTTCACTATGATTGGTCTATGGTCTATGGCCTGTGAGCCCTTGCAATAATGGAAGGAGCTTCAGAAGAGGATGCGATTTGTAAAGTGTCCAAAATCCAGGACTGAAGAGTAGGAATTATGTTGACTGGCTGCAGGGTTTCTCCTGGTCCTGTTTTTTTTAAATCATTCAACCTGTCTTGTAAAGTTGGTGTAGCTCACCCTCCATGGTACTCTGTCTCATTTCCAAGAGAGTGAGTTGCGGAGTGGGTTTGAAGAAGATGGAGGACACTGTCGATGGACTCCTTGAGATTCTTAAGGACGGCAAGCGTTCTATGCCGTACTTAAGGGGCTGGCTCTAAACGCCGGCGGGCGGCATAGAACGTCCTTGCTGTTCTTGCCGCCCATGTGGCCACCGCCATTCGCCAATTGCACATCATGGTCAGGGGACCTGCCTGGCCAGTCACTGCGATCACTGTTACAATGTGTCAGCCAATGAGTTTTAACATTGGCTGCCACATTCCCTCTACCACTCTCCTTCACCTCACTTTAATATGAAGAAGAGAGGCATAGAGATCAGAGTGGTTACAGTTTCCCAAACTCTAAAAGTTATTAAAAGTTCAATTTAACTTTAAATTTGATCGATTTTTTTTAACCCTTTCAGTGCTGATCACA